AGCCATATTCATTGGTTTATCTGTTTACTTAGTGTTTCTGCATTTAAAAATGAGTAAGTATCTCTTTTGTGTTTAATCCTCATGTAAAAGTGTTATTTGTTTCCCAAATATATATCTGTAAACATACAATTGGGCCTTTGCACAGCTTATCACCAACCGGATAATGAACGTGGCATCTCTATTCTTGTTCATGTTGGTGGGCACAAAAGCTAAGAAATGGTCACTGCCCATTCACAAGGTAACAGAAGGTGACATCATTGCCACAAGAAATGAAAGCATGAATAATGTTTTCAGTAATTTGATTATTTAGTCACTGACACAATTTTCAGTTGGACCTAGTATTCTTTCTGGGTGTATGTAGGTGGCACATAGGTCTCTCGCCTCTTCTTATTTCTGCTAAGCAACTTCTGACAGGAGTGATTAAATAGATGGCTCCTTGCTCTCTTTCTCAACCTAATTTCTACTCTACTTATATAAGGCTGCAAGTGGAAACTTGTAACTTTCAACTAAGTGCCACTTGACCTCTCAAGTTTTTATTTATTATTTTATTCCTTTTTGGTCAAGTGAGTGGTTACTATAAAGACCACATCTCACAGACCTTATTGCTGGTCATAAAACATGAGATCCTTCAGACACAGAAAACATCATTTAACTCAGTTGACTACATATTTTGGTTATGTGGGGTGCCTATTGAGTCACCATGTAATTTAGAAAAGTGTGTTTACTAGACAGGACCAAAACCTTTGCCATACTGCTCTAAAATGTGGTATGCATACTTAAGGCAAGGTTTAAGCAGAAAGAAAAAATTTGTTCATGAGGAAAAGGTTGTCCAACTATTTTTCTTTCATGCAGAAATACTTTTTTAGTTACAATTACTTTTTGAAAGTGGCTAGTGTAAGACTATAAGTTCTTTTATTATTAAATATTTGTGTGTTTTGAAAAAGTAATTTCACTGAACATTTCCCCCCAACAAATAAGTTTTATTTTCTTTTCATAGCAGTTTTTTTATTGGAAACTTTCAAAAAATAAATAGGATCTATTTTTATTATTTTCTTTGAGACTCGCAGACTATAACACAGCCTTTATGACTAAAAAAAAAAAAAAAAAATGGACTTTGACAAATAAAAAAAAATATTTTAAAATAGACATTTCTGAGACATTACATTTGCTTTGCCTTTATTTATATATATATATATATATATATATATATATATATATAAATATAATTTGTGTATTTAGGCAGCAATCCTTCTTTCATGCACATTTCATTGAAAACGACTGACAATTCTCTTTCACACCCAGTAACTCCTTGTGTCTTAGTGGCATTATCACTTTGTTTGGGGTGAAAAGAAAAAAAATGGGGTACTGAAAAGTTTTTGGGTTTATCTACTTCCCAAAATCAAACAAAATGAACAATCACCTGAACTTGTTTTGGGAACCCTTTTTGGTGAGGATGAGAAGAGAACTTTTCAGCACCTCTTGTGATGTATATTTGTGAAGCAACCTTTATTCCAAACATGTTTCGTTGAATATGACAGACAAGGAAAATTTAATGTTTTTAGTTTTTCCATCTTACTTTTTTTCTTTTTTTTTTTTTTTTTTATTTGGTGGAAGTAAAGTGCAAAAATTGTCCATTGTCCCAAACATTTTCAGCCACTTCTTTTGCCATTTTCAATGGATTTGTTTTTAAATGTTGATTTCTCTTCATTTTTGTTTAAGATGTATTTTTTGTGTCATTTTCAATACTGGGAAGAGCATTTGTTTCATGTTTTGATCATGGTTGGAATTTAAATGAGATATATATATATATATATATATATATATATATATATATATATAAATAAAATAAGGACAGTAAGATTTAAAATCTGGTGTTGTTAGTAATTGTTTTTATTTTTAAAAAAACAGTGCTTTAGACAAAACGGTAGAGCATAATTATAATTATTTTCTAGTTTAAAAATATGGTTCCATCACTACACAGGAATTACCATTTTTCAAAATAGAAACTAAAATTTTAAATTTAATTATAAAATTAAATTTAAAATCTATAGTTGTGTTCCATTCTCAAGCAATTTTTTTTTTTTTTTTTTTTTTTTTTTTTTTAGAATAGTCTATAAAGAAATTTACTTTATTTATAAACACAGACAATCTTAATATTTTAAATAGTTATGGTTACGGAAAATTACATAATTTTGATAAGGGGTGGTTGGGTTTTAATTTCCCTAAACAACTTGCGTATCAAATATAAGTTAGTTTCAAAATCAGGCTAAGGTGGGTAGGGGTGCCTGCTCACAAACAATGACCTTCATTTTTCAAGTGTGTTTGGGTTTTTCAGTGATAAAAGATTTTTGGCATTTTTATTTGGCTGCTTAATTTCTAATTTTATACACAAGGATTTCTTAAAAGGGTCGTCTGAACATGAGTAAGTCGTATTTTTAGTATTTAAAATCTAATCCTACAGATTTAAAGTACTTTTCTAATTCTAATAACTAACAGACTATACATTATTTTTTACAAATATATTAGAATTACATCCATATTTAAAAAAAATTATTAATCAAAGATCAAGTATAAATATGTATGTTTTATTTTTCATTTCTTTTTCAAAATTATACATTAAGGAAAATATTTGACAGTGTCTGCAAAAAATAGCTATTTCATTTCTTTAACAAATGAAATAGCTATTTTTTGCAGACACAGTCAAAGATTTTACTTAAATAATGATTAAGTATGATAAAAAGATGAAAAATGAAACATATTTAAACTTGATCTTTGAATAATAATTTTTAAATAAGAAAGTAATTCTAATTTATTTGTTTAAAAAAAAATGTATAGTCTATTAGTTATTAAAAGTAGGGATAATACTTTAAAATTGAGGGAATAGATTTTAAATATTAAGAATATGACGTACTCATATTCAAATGAACCTTTTTGAAAAAATCTTTGTGTATAAAATTAGAAATTAAATCGCAAAATAAAGATGCAAAAAAAAACTGTCATTAAACAAAAAGAAAAAAAACTGACGACATGCAAAAAATGGATGTCATCATTTGTTGAACAGGCACCCCCTACCCTACCTTAGCTTAACCTGATACTGAAAGTAGCTTAGTTTCAATACAGAAGTTGTCAATGGAAACAAATACACTACCACTCTTATTAATAATGATTAAATTTCCCTGTAACCTTGACAACTAATAATATCAAGATTGTATGTGCTTATAAACCCAGTAAATTTCAAAAGATGTTATTCCAGAAATCACTCGACTATGAATCAGAGATAAAGATTTTAAATTTAATTATAGAATTAAATTTAAGATTTAGTTTCTATTTTTGAAACATGGTATTCCTGTCTAGTAATGGAACCATATTTTTAAATTAGTAAATTTATAATATATGTATATTATAAATTAATTGATTTAAAATGTTTTTTTTTGCTACACAGTTCTAACCATGTTTCAAAAATGGAAGCTAAAAGCCACAAATTTAATTTTGTGATTAAATTAAAGACATTAGTTCCATTTCATCCTCAAGCGAATTTTGGAGTAACTTTTTAAAATTACAGGGTTTTAAATACACAGCTAAAACAAAATTCATGTTTCCAAGGTTACAGATAAATCTATTTTTCTAGACAGGGGTGGCTGGGTTTTCAATATGTCTATAATTTAATGTATCAGGAAGGTATGCATTTTTCAATGAAATCTAACTTCCGTTAAAGCTTGTCGTCTAGATTTTTTAAAATTATATTGTTAACGGCTAAAATTCTTACGGCATCCCCCCCGTATATTTAAAGTATATTACGATTTTTTTTTAAATTTTATATTTAAATATTACTTAAGTAAAATTTTCATTTCTCCGATTTAGTAGACTTTATTTATTTATTTAATTACAAATTAAAAGAAGTTTAGGTTAGAATTCATTTTAATTAACTACAGTTTTAATTACAACTTTAAAATATTTTCATTATTAGTTTTTATAGACTAGACTATATTTCATTTAATAGAAGTAAAATGTTACTTACCATCAGTAAAATTATTTTTCTATATCAAGTATATTTATATTACGATTTTTAAAATTTTTTTTATATTTAAATATTTTTTAAGTAAAAAATTTTTTTTTTTTTTTTTTTACGGCAAAAATAGCTACTTCATTTCTCTATTTTAGTAAACTTTATTTAATTACATTTGCTCCTAATCAAAGTTGAGCACTCTAAATCTTTATTTTTAACAAGAAGAAAATATGGAGAAAATAAATTTCGGAATTTCTCTGAACATTCCTAATACCAACAAAAAGGAATATTTTGTGATGTTAATGAAAAAAACAGAGGAACTTATACGTCGGATGAGATGGAGAGCTTACTTCTTCCTTACTAAGAATGAATCAAAAAACAAAAACTACAAGGAAACTTACAGTTTTAATAGTAAAAATGCAGCACCATTTATTCATAGTTTGTCCGCTTTTGAAAAGGACCTACTGGAAATAATTAACAACATAAATTTCCATGACAAGAAAAGCTACTTCCAGAAACGCCTGGATAAGATTGTAAAGGATATTAATGCTACAGATAAAATTTTAGTAAAATCCGACAAAACTGGAAACTTTTATAAAACAACCATAAAGGAATACAACGACCTAATACATAAGGACTTGAATAAGAACTACAAGAAAGCGAATAAAAATGACATCAACATAGTTCGGGATATCAATACTAGAAGTAAGGAAATCACTGATAAACTAATGATCAGTGATAGGGTAGGTCAACTATATCAAAAAGAATGCTACATAACCTTAAAGGACCATAAACCAGATTTTGAGGCTAATCCCAATACAAGGATAATAAATCCCACAAGACCGGAGATTGGAAAAATAAGTAAAATAATCCTTGAAAGGGTAAATAAACAAATTAAAGAAAAAATTAGCCTGAAACTTTGGATTAATACCAAAGAAGTGATAAACTGGTTTACTCACTTAAAAGGAAAAAACAATAGTACACTAATGCAGTTTGACATTGATAATTATTACCCATCAATATCTAAAGAACTATTTTTGAATGCGTTGGACTTTGCCACCCACTATACAGATATCACAGATGAAGAAAAGAACATTATTATATATGCGAAAAAATTGGTGCTTATACATAAAGGTGAGCAGTGGATTAAGAATTCATATGACCACTTCGACATTACTATGGGATCACTAGACTCAGCTGAGTCTTCTGATCTCATAGGTCTTTTTATATTATACAACCTTACAGCGCACAGTGATATTAATATAACTGACAGTGGTTTGTACAGAGACGATGGCCTTATGGTTATTAGAAACTCAACCAACTTCAAAATAGATAGGTTTTATATAAAGAATTTAAAAGCATGGGTTTAAAAATTACGGTTAGCACTAAATTAAAAAAAGTGAACTTCCTAGATATAACATTAGATCTAAATGATAATACATACACACCTTATAAAAAACCCAACACTAATCCTTTATATATACACCCTAAATCAAATCACCCCCAACTATAATTAAACATATACCTTATTTATCAGTAAACGAATAAGTACAAATTCAGCAAATGACAAGATTTTCGATGAGCATATTAATTCCTATAATAAGGCTCTAAAAAACCATTAAAAAACCCAAAACTAACTAAATATAAAAAAATATAAAAATGAAAATGAAAAGCATAAAAAAACAGATGTAGAAAAATAATTTGGTATACGCCCCCATACAACCAAATGGTAAAAGTACAAATTAGGACAAAAATTCCTTGCATTAATAGTCAAAATTTTCCTAGTGAAAGTAAACTAAGTACTATTTTCAATAAAAACACACTAAAATTGAGTTACAGCTGTAATGAAAACTTAGAAAAAATTATTAAGAACCATAATGATAATATCTTAAATAAACACTTATGCCATAACCCCAAAAATTTAGACAATGTAAAAATAAAAACTGATGAAAATAAACAAAATTATGTAATTGTAGAAACCCTCATAATTGCCCTCTTCAAAATAAATGTTGCACTGAATCAGTAGTATACCAATGCAATATCTCTTTTGATCGAAAAGTCCTGAAAACATAAAAATATATATAGGTTGCACTAGCCATGAGTTCAAAAGAAGATTCAACCAACATCAGACTTCATTTAGAATAAATAAATATAAAAAAAAGACATCCCTATCAAAATATTTCTGGCACCTAAAAGAATCAAATAAAACACCTACAGTAAAATGGAAGATAATAAGAAAAAAGCTAGAATATGTAGGTCATTAAATGACCCATGACCTTTATATGCATACATGAGAAACTATATATTGCTAAGTTTATAAAAAATAAAAATTTACTGAATCAGAGAAATGAAATAGTTATTTTATGCCGTCATTGTCAAAAATTTTCCTTAAATAATATTTAAAAATAAAAATAATTTTATAAAATAGGATCAGGTAATATACATACTTATATTTAACATGAAATATTAATAGTCAAGCATTTTCCTAGTGAAAGTAAACTAAGTACTATGGAAAAAAAATTTTTTACTTAAAAAATATTTATAAATATAAAATTTAAAAAAAAAATAGTAATATTAATATACTTGATGTAGAAAAATAATTTCACTTAATTTAAGTAACTCTAATACATTTTACTTCTATTAAATGAAATATAGTCTATAAAAACAAATAATGAATTTTTTTAAAAGTTGTAATTAAAATTGTAGTTAATTAAAATGAATTCTAAACTAAACTTCTTTTAAATTGTAATTAAATAAATAAACAGTTTACTATATCAGAGAAATGAATTAGCTATTTTTGCCGTAATGAAAAAAAAAAAAAAATTTTTTACTTAAAAATATTTAAATATAAAATTTTTTAAAAATCGAAATATAAATATACTTGATGTAAAAAAATAATTTTACTGACTGTTAGTAACTCTGACACATTTTACTTCTATTAAATGAAATATAGTCTATAAAAACTAATAATGAAAATATTTTGTAATTAAAATTGTAGTTAATTAAAATGAATTCTAACCTAAACTTCTTTTAATTTGTAATTAAATAAATAAATAAAATATTTACTAAATTAGAAAATGAAGTAGCTATTTTTTCCGTTTTTCAGGTTAAAAAATTTTTACTTAAAAATATTTAAATATAAAATTTTTTAAAAATCGTAATATAAATATACTTGATATAGAAAAATAATTTTACTGAGGGTAAATAACTCGGATACATTTTACTTCTATTAAATGAAATATAGTCTATAAAAACTAATAATGAAAATATTTTAAAGTTGTAAATTAAAACTGTAGTTAATTAAAATGAATTCTAACCTAAACTTCTTTTAATTTGTAATTAAATAAATAAATAAAGTCTACTAAATTGGAGAAATAAAAATTTTACTTTAGTAATATTTAAATATAAAATTTTTTAAAAATCATAATATACTTTAAATATACGGGGGAAAAATGCCGTAAGAATTTTAGTAACAATATAATTTTAAAAACCTAGACAACAGGCTTTAATGGAAGTTAGATTTCATTGAAAAATGCATCCCCTTCCTACGACCCAAACGTAGCAATAACTGATACATTAAATTATAGACATATTGAAAACCCAGCCACCCTGTCTAGAAAAAATAGATTTTTTCTGTAACCTTTTTAACATGAATTTTGTTTTAGCTGTGTATTTAAAACCCTGTAATTTTAAAAATTACTCCAAAATTCGCTTGAGGATGAAATGGAACTAATGTCTTTAATTTAATCACAAAATTAAATTCGTGGCTTTTTAGCTTCTATTTTTTGAAACATGGTTAGAACTGTGTAAAAAAAAAAAAATATTTTAAATCAATTAATTTATAATATTAATGTTCTGTAAATTTACATTGAGCACTATTTTGTAAAAATAAAAATATCCATAAGAACACCGGATTATATATCTTGCTGTTCTTTCTTTTTATATATATATATATATATATATATATATATGAAGAAATATATAGTTTTAAGGTCTGCTATAAAGTGCTCAATATCAGAGATAGTGTATGTAAATATAAAGTACTTGACGTACTTGAGAAAATTCAGTGTAATCTTTCTCTTCGACCAACTGCCACCCAAGACTAATGTGGCCTAATTTACCCTCCTACTTGGAGGGTGAAAAAATGTGTTCATACCTTTCCCAAGGATATTATTATAAATCATAAGGCAAGAAAAGAATTCTCTAGCTTTCTATTTTTGTTGTCTTTTCTGTCTTTTTTTTTAATTTTGTTTTTCTTCCTTTCTTTCTGGATGTCTAAGTTGTCTTCTCTTTTCATTAGTCCTTTCTTCTTTTTACTCTTCCTTTTCCCTTTCTTTCATTCTTTGATGACAAACTTCACCTTTTCTTTTTTGTTTTCGGCTTTTTTCATTCATCTATAATTTCTTTCTTTCTTTCATTCTGCACCCACCTCCGTAAAAAAAAAAAAAAAAACTTGTTTCTGGTAGAATGAAGCTAACATAAAAATGTTGTTTGACCTGCTCTAAAAGAACAGTCTTCTTCTTTATGTGCTGTGTCTCCTCAGGAAAGAGGCGATCATGGCTCTCCACAATTTCCTTTCCCTTGCAGTTCTAAATAAATTCTGTCTTTTCTTTATTTCTAAACCTTGTTCTGCCATCCATTTTCTCAAGTACGTCAAGTATGTTGTGTTGTTTTCCTCTTGTCCTCAATTTGCCCTGGGAATAAGATTTTCTAAGCCTTCTTTCTTCATGTGCCCCAGAAATTTCAACCCTTTCTGATGTTAAGTATAAGATTCCTTTTTGTTTCTATTTTCACCAAAACCTCATTGTCGCTAAGATCTTCAGTCCATTGTATCCTTAGCATCTTTCTGTTGAACCAAATTTCAGTTGCTTCCACTTTTTTCTTCATCTTTGAGGAAATTGTCCAGCATTTGTTGCTATGTGAGACAGAAAGAAAATGACTAAACAGTCATACCTGGTTTTTACTATTTTCTTGAAAATTGTGACCTTTCTTTCTTCTGTCACTAATTCACAAAAGAGTGGCAATAAGTTTATATGACGTTGTTTTTTTTTTTTTTAGCCCTATTCAAATTCTTACCAAATTTTGGTGTAACATGACATATGATGTATTTGCCAACCGACCTGTAAGGAAACATTTTTTTTTTATTTCTTAGGGGTGAGATTTTGCAATTCACTTAAACCCTTTAAGTTAGGTACCTCCACGAAATCGCTAAAAAAAAGAGCATAGCTTGATGAAAAAGACGCCAACCTTGCCGAAAACAAAATTTTATTGTCTAAATGCTTATGTTATTATTTAGAGGAAAGACCAAAGTTTTTTAATTATTTTTAAAATTTTCCTTCTTTTAGAAAATTCTAAATTTTGATTAAAAAACCTTGTTTCTATTTGTATCAACCGAACGAGTAAATAACATAGACAATTTTTAGCACGTTTTTTTTTATGACACATTAATTTGAAAAATCGTGCAAAAATAGAAATAATTATCGGATGTTAATGAAACTTTCAGGAACTATTCACAGATGATCGAAATTATTATAAATATGTTTTTTTATGAAAGTCATGGTAGAAATATTTTTAAAAATATTTATTCCCCCTAACTAATTTTATGAAAAAACGCTAGAAATTCGATCGCATCGGTTTTAGTGATTACAATAATTAAAAAGCACAGGGCTTTGAGGAATGCAAATCATGTTTTTTTTTTTTTTTTTTTAATTGGATACCCAGTACCTGAAAATCAGCTCTGAATTGTAACATACAAAACTCAATAAAACAAAGATATTATTTAATTTCAAATGCTTTTATTTGCTTTTAGTTGTTTTATGAATATGGACAATATTTTCTGAAAGCAAAAAAATTTTTTCGATGAAAATGAATTTTTAATACAATTATTTGTTATTTCATTAATTATAATAGATTTTACATTTAAGTTGTTAAAATATTATAAAATTAGTTAAAAGTCAGCACAGGCTTTCATAAAATGTCCTTATGAGATAGATCTTTTTTAGTGCGTTGTAAATTGTATCATTTTGACTAATCAGAAGATCCCCAGTAATTAAGAAATGTAATTTTGTGCTTATAATCGAGCTGTAATTATAAAATACGGAAGACCAACCAGAATATAATTAAGTTACGTTATTTGAGTTAAGCATTGTTCTCCGCTATTAAGGCCTTTACTTTTATGAAACACGTGTGGAGAAGTTAATTTGATTTTTCAATTTCAACTGAGAAGGTTACCTACAAGTATCAGTATCATCTTATGAAATTTATATGATCTTATTTTTATATTAATCTCAGTTACGACATTTTTCCATAAATGAAATATCAAAATTAATAATAAAATGAATGCAAATACAAATAACAGTAGAATGTAATAAATGTACATAAAATTATAGTATTTTTGTACAATTCTGATAAAATTTCATAAGAAAGGTACCTATAAATTAATTAGATACCTTTCTTAAGAAATATGAAATTTAATGTCACTCTTAACAGTTTTATTTTAATTTCTTTAGAATATATTTCCCATAAAAGCATCATAAACGTAAAGGTGAAAGCTAAGTACAAAAAAAAAAAAAAAAAAATTAGACCGGTGAAAGTTTTCGTTAAAAATAACAGGGTAAATAATTTGTTCACGTAACTGTAAATTATTTCACTTTTCTCCTTCCGTAGAACAAATTAGCCTCATGGAATTAAATAAATATATCATTCATCACATGTCAAGAGACGTGAAAGTTTATGACCTGCTTTGTTTTATTTTCAAATTACATCTTTTTGGCACAAAAGCTAAGTTAAGTTTGGTTCAAAATATTTTAAATAAACATTATAATTTCTGATTTTCTTAAAATAAGTTTTGAAAAAATGATAATTGATATTTAAAAAAATTTCAAAGTCAGATTTCTAGTTTTTTTTAAAATGGAAAAAAATGGTCAATTTTGCTGACTCAAAAAAAAATAGATATTTAACGAAAATTTCGGACGTGCTAGGAACGATTAAAAAATGGAAAAAAATACCCCAAAAATACTTTGACCTTTCCTCTTAATGAATAACAAACATTTAGACGATAAAATTTTGTTTTCGTCAAGTTTGGCGTCTTTTTCATCATGCTATGCTCTTTTTTTAGCGATCTCGTGGAGGTACCTACTTTAAGTATACATCTTTTTATACTTTTATAGTGTTTTGACCCCAGCTTGGGGGGGGGGGTTAACTATTTGCCCATAGTTGGGACCCTAACAGGTGCTACCACAGTTGATTAGGGTGGGCCTGGGAATGCCAGCAATTAAGAGGTGGTTCCACACTTCTCAAAACCTCCCAATCAGAAGCCTTGTTGCCAGACACAGTTTGTCATACCCAGGATGGGTATCCATATATGTATGTAATGTATATGCATATGTCTAGGTTCTGCATAAGTGACTTACATGCACTATTTAATGTCCACAAATACACGCACTATTTGACTAAGTTTGAAATAAAACAATAATATATTCCTGGCTTATGACTACATCATGTTAAAATGCCAGTTTCTGTATGATCACCAAAGTTAAGCAACGTCAAGACTGGTCAGTATCTAGATGGGTGACCACTTGAAAATACCATGCACTGTAAGCATGAATGTGCAGTTAGTGTAATGGATAATGGCTTGTAATTGTTTATCAGAGAGCCGAGTTCCAATTCTTTGGTTTAATTATATTCACTTATGCACAAATGCTCTTGGGAAAAGTATGAATCAACTTCTTCCCCCCCCCCGTATGAGTTAATTAGTAAGACTTGTATCACTTTAACCATTATTATTTCAAAAAAAAATTCTTACAATCTGAAAATATTTTCTGGCTTTAAATAACCTGCAAAGGGTTGATAAGCTGTAGAAAATAATCAACAATATATTCTTCTCCTCCTCAATCTGGACAACCCCTACCCTAGGCTGAGCAATAAAATCATAAGGTTGTAAGAAAAAAAAAATTTTTTTTTAAAACCCTTAAACTGTAATTATAAGATTTTAATTTATTGAACATTTCGGAAATTCTTTGATAATAAATAGAATGTTTTTTAAGAAAACAGTTTTAGCTGTTTATAATCATAAATAATAATGTTTATATTTTGCTATTATCAATTTATGCTATATATATATATATATATATTTATATATATATATATATATATATTTTATATATATATATATATTTTAATTTCTAAACATTTTTTAGTTTTACTATTGAATTAAAATATACGTGTATATACAAATGAAAATGCACACATTTTGAATGAAATTTAAATCTGCATGTGTTGCAAGGCTGAATCTGCTTTTCTGTCTGGCAACAACCCCTAGATAAGAGGAAAAGAGCATAAGCCAAAATGTGCAGCCTCTTGAAGTCATTTTTATGACATCTGTTTTTAAACTGAATATATTTTCTAAGAAATGTTGTATCTTAGAAAAATGGACAAGCAATTTAGATTTGAAATTTGATCCCCCCCCCCTGCCATCAACGAAGTCACAGATACTGAACTAGTATATGTAATTATTCCTTCTGTATTCAACACACTTAATCCCACCCATAAATATCAGATCTCAAAGACTCATTGTTTGCATGACGACTTGAGTTATTTGTGATTATGTTGTCATATATTATAGCAAAGTATACACAGTTTTGGGTCAAACATTGAGGGACGATATTTACAGAGCAGGTTGAATGCTAGAGGGTCAGCATGCCTTCTGCTCTATAATCCTTTGTTTTTTTTTTTGTGTCAGAAATGTTTATGTAAATGTTTAACAACTATTATGGGATAGAGGTTGTGTAATATAATTCTGTCTTGTTATCATTGTTATATGTAGTGTACAAAAAATGTTAAAAAACTGAAAATGAAATAATGGTTAGCAGAAAAGAAAAATATTATAAGCCAAAATGTGCAGCCCTTGAAAGTCACCGTTCTGTATTTACACTGAATATATTTTAAATGGACAAACAATTGTTGCTGACCTCAAGGCCTAATATATATATATATATATATATATATATATATATATATATATATATACATACATACTCACTGGCTCACTATCACTTCACAAATTAAGATATATTCACTACTTGGGGCACCTCGAGTAATTGTTAACAAGTTTGTCTCGTTAGAACAATTACGACTGAGTAGTGAGTTCAATCCTCACTGGGTGTCCCCTACTTTCGGCCTTGTGCCACATCTAAGCTACGCTTGGAAAATCACTATATTCATTACTTGAGATCTTTGAAACAAAAAATTTAAAGGAACATTTTTCATTCATAAATTGGCTTGTTATAGTTAAGGAAAGTTTTACAAATACATGCCAGCTTGTTCAAGGCCAAGTAAAATGCAAATTTCAATCACATTTCTGCACTATATAGTGTAACCCTTCAGGGTCGATCCAGGTTCACAGCAAACAGTAACAAATGTAACTTTTCATCGTAGTCAGCCCAGAGTGGATCCTGGTTTGATCAATGGAGTGATCTCTTCAAACCTGACCTGCCTTACTCCACGTTGTGATTGATATGATCATAAGAAGGCCAAAATCAATTTATCGCAGGTATCTTTGTGTTGGGTTGGTCCAAGTTGAGTGAAGTTGTACAATAAAACTAGAAAAAAAACAGCACTTGAAATATAGATAAAAAATAATTACTATTTTTATATCAAATACTGCATATAATGGTTCGTTAGTAGTTGTGTTCGCATACAGGTGTTTGTCGACCCAACCCATTCCTAAATTGGAAGCAACATTTGGGTAAGCTGGTAAGTTTTGGCTTTCAGAGTTAGCGAAATTTGTTTTACTGATTTGCTAAGTTTGGCTCAAGGCTGAAGTTGGAGGTTCTTGTGTTCAGCAGGAGTTGTGGAATCTCTCAGCGACCTCCACCTCTTCCCGTCTCAGCTCTCAACTGTCAACTTGCAACTGTCTTCGCAAATTTATTTTTATGGAGTAGGTTGGGTTTTGGTGAATTCCCTGATTTCCAACAAGAGTCCATTGTTTTTGGTTTTGAGAAATTAAATTTCTTCATAATTTTTGGTAATTCTCCTTATCTCATGGAAGATGGGTGCAGGCATCACTCCGCCTAGTTACTTCTACTTTCTCTTATTACCATCTCCCACCAGTGCTTTCCAGTGGGCGTGGGTAGCTCCTTTAAACTCCTTAATGTCTTATCTGTGCCTGCTACCCTACAGTGGGTGCAGGCATCCCCCCCTCCTTTCTTGATTGCCCTTCTGCACCTGTCACCTCCAGGTAAATTACTATAAAGTAGAGCTGGGGCTTTTTAATCTCGGAATTTATGGGAGAATTGAGCTCCAATTTCACATTTATTCATATAGATTCCATAATATAGGTTTTACTTAATTAGCTATTATGTTTCTCTAACTCTTCAAATGTTGAATGTATAACTTATTCTAATTTCCCATCTTCACACTATATTAATTTTATCTTAAATTGTCCCTCTGTCCTGTCACTTATGAAATAAAAATAATTGTTTGTATAAAAAATAAGCATCTATGTACATCAAATCGTCTTTAAATCAAGTGACAGCAGAAGAATTATCATTGAGCTTTTAAAGGGTAAAATTAAATATTAATTCAATACTTAAATGCAGCGATCAATTTTGAGTTCTTCTGTAGTTTATTGATGCCTATCGTATCTACTCCTCCATAGTTATTTTGATGATGGCCAAACCACAGGAGCTAGCTTAAATGCCACCCCAATAGCGAGCTTAAAATTTTAATTTAGTTGCAATTTTGGATAAAAATAAGAGTTACTCCCTTTGAACCACGAAAGCAATGATAATAGATAGTATTATATATTAATATACATTTTTAACATTGTATAATCTGGCAACCCTAAATCTGTGCTCAATGAAAATCATTCTTTGCACCTAACTTTTCTTGGGCTTTTGAATGAGCTACAAATCATTGAAATCAGACCAGTAGGAGTGGAAGAGTTGCTTAGACACACATAAACACACACATATACATTCTACTTTATATATAAGATTTTTGGTGGATATCTGTATTTGAGTAGATGTCCTGACATGTACTGCAGTAGCAGTGGTGTCTGACGGATCCCAACTCTCTCTAAGCTGGTTGGAATTCAGCTTTCCTTCTCTTAGACTAGTTACCAACCAAGGCTATAGGACCCAATCTGTCCTGATATTTAATCCATAGCTGGGAAGGAGAAGAGATGGATTCATAACTTTCCCAAGGGTATTTGCATGTAAGCATAAGGAATTTGAACTCTGCTCTCCTATTCCTCAATCTGGGCCACTATCCATTACTCCACGAGGCCTCAAGTTGAAATAAATATATATATATATATATATATATATATAAAAAACCAAACCTGTTCTCCCATCAGCTTTTTCTAGTGAGGAGGGTGGGTATAGATCCAGCAGGATTAAAATCCAAACTTGTCAACGGTCAGATTAATTTTTTAATCAGATCAGGTCATCAAGCACAGGTGTGGGGATGTAAAAATACCTAAGTTGGTGTTCAAGTGTTTGGTAAGTCCATTGACAGTGTTTTAGTTGCTTAAGCTTTGCTAAAGTTTTCAAGTAGGAGAAGGAAAACACTGATGTCACACTTGAAGCTTGAAAACATCCAATGATGTTGGCTTTTTCTTGCTGTGAGATTGAAATTGGCCCAATGTAATGTCTTCCTCTACTCTTTTAGGACATTCTTTAATATCACAGTAAGCTCACAGAAAGTGTTGAAACACTGAGCCTTTGTTTATGTATCCAACTAGGAGAAGGAAAACTCTGATGTAACAACTTCAGTTTGACAGCATCCAATTATTTTGTTTTCCTTTTGGGTGCATGCTGTTCTTGCTTAGAGATTGGGATTTGTCCCATTGTTGTCTATTTTCTATTTCAAAAATTACCTGCACAGATATTGCTTCATATCTTGTGATGGTCATATCTGACTACAAGGTGGCAACCATCACGTATGTAGAGGGGTACATGGGCCTGTGGTATTTAATAAGATGTTCCCACTAACAATTAAAAATAAAACCTCAATAATCTGACAGGTCAAAAACAAGGACAACACAAAAGGAGGAATTCAAAATAAAATATGCCAAAATTTATTCTTGTCAAATTAACAATACAAATCAGGAAAAGAAATGCAAATTGTTAAAGTCAAATAGAGTTCCGTAGAAAACAAATGTAATTAGATTTGGAACTCAAAATCTAGTAATGAAATAATGTTTAAAGCAGATTGGACAAAAAGTTCATATATTATTGCCACTGAGCTGACGAGAAGACCATAATGATTAGTGATTTACACAGTCAGTATTTGTATACACAGAACAAGGTTGATAGGATGATGTCTATATTACTAACCAGAAGAGTTGATTCACAAAAAACAGAAACTGGAAATGTTGATGGGCATTGTAGGAAAATGTTGAATCCATTGAAAATATGTTTCCATAGTAACCTGAACAGTCCATGTTTGAAAAGTAGGTAAACTAAGTTGACATGCACAGAGAATGGTCGATATTCAACGACAATAAACTGGGTTAGTAGACTAGACTAGTCAGTATTCAAAGAAGGTAAACTGGTCAGCAGATATGCACAGGAAAAATCTGGAACAGTCGATTTTTCAAAGTAAAGATAAGCTGTGTGTGTGTGTGTGCAGGAAAGACATTATTTGCGAATGATGATCATTGGTGTAAAAAATGCCAATGTGCTCAGGAGAGGATTGGTATTGCAACCAGCATGATTGCTTTCTGACAAGAGTAAGATTTGCGAAGAATTCAGAAGATTGGTATTCTGACAAGAAATGATTGCTTTGGGAGGATGTCGAAGAATTCAGAAGATTGGTATTCTGACAAGAAATGACTGCTTTGGGATTGCTTAGAAGATTGGTATTCCCTGACAAGTAAGATGCCAAGAATTCAGAAGATTGGTATTCTGACAAGAAAATGATTGCTTTGGGAGTAATGCGATTCAGAAGATTGGTATTCTGACAAAAAGAAATTGCTTTAGGGTAAGATGCCGAGAATCAGAAGATTGGTATTCTGACAAGAAATGACTGCTTTGGGAGTAAGATGCCGAAGAAGATTCACAAGAAATGATGCTTTGGGGTAAGATATTCTGACAATTCTGAAATGACTGCTTTGGGAGTAAGATGCCGAAGAATTCAGAAGATTGGTATTCTGACAAGAAATGACTGCTTTGGGAGTAAGATGCCGAAGAATTCAGAAGATTGGTATTCTGACAAGAAATGACTGCTTTGGGAGTAAGATGCCGAAGAATTCAGAAGATTGGTATTCTGACAAGAAATGCCGAAGAATTGCTTTGGGACAAGAAATGATTGCCGGAGAATTCAGAAGAATTCAGAAGATTGGTCTGACAAGAAATGACTGCTTTGGGAGTAAGATGCCGAAGAATTCAGAAGATTGGTATTCTGACAAGAAATGATTGCTTTGGGAGTAAGATGCCGAAGAATTCAGAAGATTGGTATTCTGACAAGAAATGATTGCTTTGGGAGTAAGATGCCGAAGAATTCTGATTCAGAAGATTTCAGTATTCTGACAAGAAATGACTGCTTTTTAAGTAAGATGCCAAGAATTCAGAAGATTGGTATTCTGACAAGAAATGACTGCTTTGGGATAAGATTTGGGAAGATTGGTATTCTGACAAGAAATGATTGCTTTGGGAGTAAGATGCCGAAGAATTCAGAAGATTGGTATTCTGACAAGAAATGACTGCTTTGGGAGTAAGATGCCGAAGAATTCAGAAGATTGGTATTCTGACAAGAAATGACTGAAGAATTCAGAAGATTGGTATTCTGACAAGAAATGACTGCTTTGGGAGTAAGATGCCGAAGAATTCAGAAGATTGGTATTCTGACAAGAAATGACTGCTTTGGGAGTAAGATGCCGAAGAATTCAGAAGATTGGTATTCTGACAAGAAATGACTGCTGGGGTGTTGCTGAAGAATTCAGAAGATTGGTATTCTGACAAGAAATGACTGAAGAATTCAGAAGATTGCTTTGGGAGTATTCTTGGTACAAGAAATGACTGCTTTGGGAGTAAGATGCCGAAGAATTCAGAAGATTGGTATTCTGACAAGAAATGATTGCTATGTATAGTAAATACCAGAAATAGTTGGTTGTACGCAGAAGATATTGAGGATGTTGATGAGTACAGAAAATCCCGGAACAAATTCTCCCTGGCAGCAAGTGCATAACCATATGTAACCATAATCAAATATCTCAAATCTTGGAGTGAATTAGTAAATTTAAATAACTGTTTAAGGTTGCATAAAATAAGGTTTGCAGGTGTAGGAACTTTATTTTGAAGATAGCAGGATTTTTTTTAAAAAGGCAAGCAGGTAGTATTTTCTAACAATTCAACTGAATTGAATCTTTTCATAATCTCAGATTTTGGCATATCATAGTTAAAGGTATATTCGTATGTAATTTATAATTGTGTGTGTGTGTGTGTGTGTATATATATATATATATATATATATATAAAAGGGATCCTACAACAACAAATACAAGGCCATGAGAAAAAGATTGTTCATTTACATCATGGCTGACAGTAGCAGAACACCATGATACATATCTACATAGAGATTTTACAAGCATAGTTTAGATATGGAACAAGGCCAAAAGTAAGGGTGCACCCAGTGGGGATCAAATTCACTACTCTGTCGCAATTGTTCTAGTGAGAAAAAGCTTGCTATTACACCGCCTGGAGGTGCCCAGATGCATATATATATATATATATATATATATAAAAAATCGAATATTGCATTTCTTGTGTTAGGTTTATTACTCTCTAATTCTCCAAAAAGTTTTCATTACTTTCGGCTGAAATTTATAGATTCTTTCCCTCAAAATAATTTTTCAGGAAAATAGGATTCTCAAGCCTTCTGTTATTATTCTCTCCAGTATTGACATCAGTTTCCTTCCTAACTTTTTGTTTGAATATTTGTCTATATTTCTGAGATGAGGTATTATGTACACTATTTACATCGTTTGGACTATCATTCTCATCTTTGTTGCCATATTTTTATTTGAAGTTGTGTGGAATGTCATCATGTTGATTATGTCATTATTTTCTTTTCAAGTTTCATGCAATAACTATTTTAGTTGTTACTAGTTCTCAACCAACGTGGTTTCTGTTATTTGGTACAGTTCTTTGTATTAACTTTTTTCTTTTATTAGTATTTACTAATTTCATGGGGCCAAAAACATTTGCAATGAAAAGGAACTAAAAAAAAATTAAAATAATAAATATGGCTGGCTTTTGAAAAAAAAAAAAAATTATTCTATTAAGAATGGAACAACCTGGAAAATATAAACAAACAGTAGAAAAAGGGGGCTCACTCTCACTTTAATATTAATTTTAATTATTTTCTGCCGTGAATTAAAACTTAAAAATAAAATGTTGAGTTTTAAAACTGTTTTTTTTTTTTCTTCTTTTTTTTCAGGTGATGCCATTTTGGGTTCAAGTGATGTCACTCACTTTTTGTTCCAGATCTATTCACTACAGTTCAAGAGATGAGCTTCTTTTTTCTTTTTTTTTTTTTTTTTTTTTTTAAGATTTCAAATTCTGAGTTATTACTCAACCAAAGTCTATATTGTATATAAACTATTACTTATATAGAAAGACAAAAGGAAAACTTAGCCAACATATTTTGTCCACTGATGGACTTTATCAAGCTACATTTAAGATAAGTTTTTCTTTTGTCTTTATTCATATTGCCCTTTTACAGATATATTTTAGTTATATCTGAAATTTTATATGGGATAACGATATATAAATTTTATATATCAATATCAGTTTTGAAAGAAAAGATGTATGACAAACTGGAAAAAATTTTGTAACGCATTTCATCTGTTAAGACTTCATTGGATGGGGTTTGTTTACATTGTTGTGACTACATGTGCACGAATGAGAGATGCTGGTAGTTTCAAATTTTTTGAAAGTTTTTTTTTTTTTTTTTTTAAATCTAGCCAAATTCATTTATATTTTTTTTTTCTTTCCCTCACTTTTATTATTAAATATTCCACATTGTGATAACAGAAAATCTGTTAAGAATGGTGAAATGTTGGAAGAATGTGTGCATAAATTTACTGTTGCTGATCTAGCAATTAGAGCACTTTCTAGACATTTTTGTCTCAGTGAATTATTTTTTGCAACATTTCGCCATTCTTAACAGATTTCTGTTATCATAATGTGGAATATTTAATAATAAAAGTGAGGGGAAAGAAAAAAAAATATAGATGAATTTGGCTAGATTGCAAAAACACAAATTCTTTCAAAAGTTTTGAAACTACTAGCATCTCTCATTTGTGCGCATATGTAGTCACAACAACATAAACAAACCTAGTCCAATGAATGGTTGAAATGCATCACAAAAACTTTTCCCAATCTGTCATATATATATATATATATATATATATATATACACACACACACACACAAATTATAAATTTCCTACCAATATACCTTTCACTATGATATGCCAAAATCTGAGATTATGAAAAGATTCAATTCAGTTGAATTGTTAGAAAATACTACCTGCTTGCCTTTTTAAAAAATATCCTATCTTCAAAATAAAGCTCCTTACCCCTGCAAATAAAAATTCAGTGGGTTGAAGAATGAGTTATTACTGTTGGAACTAAGCGACAGGAAATGTAAATATCCAACCAATTGTATCAATCTTGATCCAAAAAAAAAAAAATATTTACATTATTATTTTTTTTTATAACTTGATTGGCTTTGATCACTTTGCTTTTCTCTTCTCTATAAAATCCTAATTGTTTTCGCCCCCAGGGGTTTTGAACAGGCATCAAAAACAAAATAGGGAGAGTTAATCCCCCTCCCCCAACACATCATTTTTACAGCAGTTTGAACCCAAAATGCAAGAAAACTGATTTGGTTTAATTTTTTTTCTCCTTTTTCTCCTTTTTTGCTTTTTCTTCCTTTTTCTCTTTCTTGTTTTGCTCATTTTTCTCTCCTTTTGCTCATTTTTCTCTCCTTTTGCTCATTTTTCTCTCCTTTTGCTCATTTTTTTCTCCTTTTGCTCATTTTTCTCTCCTTTTGCTCATTTTTCTCTCCTTTTGCTCATTTTTTTCTCCTTTTGCTCATTTTTTTCTCCTTTTGCTCATTTTTCTCTCCTTTTGCTCATTTATCACTTTTTTTCTCTTTTTTCTTTTTTCTCCTTTTTTCTCTTTTTTTTTTTTCTTTTTCTCTATTTTTTCTTTTCTTTTTCTCTCTTTTTTTTTCTTTTTCTCTCTTTTTTTTTTTTCTTTTCTCTCCTTTGTCTTTTTCCTTTTCTACCTATTTTCATTTTTTTGTTTTGTTTTATCAAAGGGTATGTTTTGCTGTGTGGTGGGTGGAAAAAAAGAGAGAGCTAAAAAAAAGTAAAAAAAAACTTATTTTATATACACACACACATCGACTGCTCCAAAAATAATGCTTCTCATTTATTTCCACAAAACCAATAACAGATACAATGAACACAATAACATTTTTAAATACAGTAGATTTTCAACTCTGAAACACTATATCATCACCATTGCTGGTTTGGCATTTACACCAGTGTAACTAACAAGAGACTGCATGATACACTTGTTAAAAACAAATTCTGTAACAGTTGGGGGTGGCAACTTTTTCACACACATCATTGTTGCCACCGCTGGAACACATTACCCACCGCCTAACTATACTCACATCCAATATTAGATCTCCACAAATGTTTAGCAAGTATGGATGGTTGTCAATGGGCACACTTCTTTCTACAAGGAAGTAGTCATTTTCCCAACACTGCTTTGTACTGCTTTTGTAACAAAGCAAAAAAAAGTATAGGATTTTGGTGGGCAGGTTTAACCTCTGCTGCCATTCTCCATTCCACAAAAATAAAAGAGGAGGTAGTACTTTTGGAGTGATTGAAGCCCACCCCTAACCCTACCCCTTGTATACCCTTTACACACACACACACACACACACTGCATGGTAAGAAACAAGAAACTAACTTCATTACAACAACTGTTCTATACATTGAACACTTTCATTTCTTTTACTTTGCATGTTTTGTGTAGCATCTTAAAATGAAATATATAAACATGTATTGAATAAGGTGATTTTCTAAGTGTGGCTTAGATGTGGCACAAGGCCAAAAGTATGGGGCACCCAGTGAGGATCGAACTCACTACTCAGTCGTAACTGTTCTAGCAAGAAAAGTTTGCTAACCATTACACCACATCGAGATGCCCACATGTATTGAATAAATTGTTTAACTGCCCCACTAAGTCCAGATGTGACACAAGATCTTTTTGTGTGCCAAGGACAAAAATTTTCCAGTCCCCACAACCATCGTCATGCTTGCTTTAATATTACACTATTCTCTTAGTGCATTGTGAAAGGTGCTGCTGCTGGATTGGAATACCTGTGATCAGGCACCTTCTCCCATCTCAAATGAGATTCTATGTTTTTATCCTGGTGAAAAGGCTGAGAAGCAATTGAATAAATCCAATA